TGCAAAATACTAGCTCATGCATTACTAATATATCCCCATTTAAATGCAGATTTTTTGCTCCTAACACAGAACTTCAGGGAAATCCTCTCCAGATAAACTGGTAATAGAATACCAAATGGTAATTCAATATTTCGCTCTAACTTAGTGTTTCAGCTTATTGATCTTAATTTTCTATCATTTTGATGCAACATTTGCCTAGGGGGAAAGAGGATTACATTCATTAAAATACAGCTTTTAATTAATTATTTTGATATTCCAAATATCCATGCCAGCAGTGGCGATCTGCTTCTATACTCTTGTTCCATGAGGGAAGCTGGCAAGGTGTGACTTTGCATATCTTAGGAAATAACTGAGATACGATACACTACTGGGAGGATGAAAAGCAGTGTGGATAGCGCAATACACCCGCCTTGCTTATCATGGGCATGTTTTCTTCTCTGAACACTTCTGGTTCCCAGTAAGACCCTGAACTGTGGGTGAAGTTCCAGTAAGTAGGAAACCTTGTGCTATGATGCTGAATTCAAGGGGTTTCCAAAAGCGTTCCATTTTGTGCAACTTTTATAAGTAAACACCTTAAAGTTTCTGAATGGAGACTTCAGGCAGGAATGTTCTCAAGGCACTCACCCACCAAATTCATTTTCTTCAGTACATCTGCCCCTTGGTAAGGAAGGACTTGTCCCACCTCAACCACTTCCATCTCCGCCATTAGATACTGCAGTTTAAAGCAGTTTAAAGCATCTCTGCTGTCCATATGCTTTTTTTTTTTTTTTTTTTTTTTGCGGTACAAATATAGAAATTAGCATAAGGTTCAAATTTTTCAATTAGCTGCTTCAAATTAATGTTGTTATTTCCTGTTACTATATAGGATACATATAAAATGAAGGATAGGATACATATAAAATGAAATGAATATCTTAAATAGCATAGTGAAGTCATAGGGATAATGTTTATGAGCCTACTAGAAAATAAATCAAAAATTTGAGTTATTAAGAGGAGTAACGTGATATTGAGAGTTAGTACTTTTATAGCGCCCAACACAATGAGTTCTAATTAAACACAATATAGTTCTAATTAAATAAAAACAAAGTCCGTGCTATTTACTATTTCCAGTCTGAAAGGCTGTGGCACAACAGAAAACAAGTCAGCAGCAGCAAATATCACAGCAAAGCTTAGATCTAATTTCCAGCACTTTCAACTAGAATAGAAAATTCCCAAGCTTGGCAGAGTTATAAATAGGATAGGAGCTTTCAAAATACATTTTCATTTTTGTTGTTGGTAGTGGTTTTGGCTGCTTAACCTTTGGTTCACATTTCCAAACTTTTTTCTGGCAACCATAAGAATTACCGGTTTTCAAAAATCCTACCTTCAAGAGCCACATTTCCATAGATCCTCACGATGTCATGTATTAAAAAGCAAAAAAATAAAAATAAAAAAGCAATAAAAATGCAAGCATCAAGGGACCTCCAATAAAACAATGGAAGAGGGCTGTCTCAGGGTTAATAAGAGCTCCTTTGACATGTAGCTTGGTTGACAAAAGAAATAGCTAAAAAATATATATCTGTAAATGTATTGATCTTTGTGATTATGTTCTTTTTGGAAACTCACCCTTCTACTTCTCATCTAAATTACTTCCAACCTTCTGAATTTTTGCTGGATTCAACCACCTGCTATATGAAGTGAAAACTGCTAAATAGGTTCATCCACTACTGCATCAAAATAAGCCCTGTCCATGTTCATAAATCCAGAGTCATTAAGGCTTCAGAAGACTGCAGAACTATTTTTAGGTGCATTTTCAGACTTAAAAAAATAAATAAATAAAAACCCACCTGTAACCCCCCGCTGTTTTCTGTGGAGGCATGGCCGCCTAGACTCAGCACTACTAAGACATGCTGACTTTACAGATAAAGAGTAATGAAAAATAGTGAAGCTACAGTGGAAGAGCTGGGTGGTATATTTTTTTTGTGAGCAGCTTATTATCAGTAAACAGAGCTCCAAGCCAAAGCACTAAGCAAAATTTTAGGTTAAAAAAGAGAAAAAGTAACACAGTTGGAAGTGGGAAGAGGTTGCCATTTTCAAAGAAATCACTTCTGTTTTATCTAAAACAATTCAATTATATTAGTCAAGAACAATTTTACTGGGGTCTTTTCCACATTAGAATAAAAATATATCACCATGTGAAATCCTTTATTAAAATCATTTCTTGTAGCCAGCAAAACTATAACCATTAACGACTGGACATAAAAAGATTGTTTTCATTAGACTGTATTTCATAAAATAATTTTAACAAGGAGAATAAGTTTAGCTGGTAATTTTTCTAAGCTACTGCTAGGGCTTAAATTAGACTGAAAGATAGCAAAAGAAAAGGAAGGGCTCAGGTGTGAACCTCTAAAAATTCCCCCTCCTTTGGCCTTGCGATTGTCATGTCTTGCTGCACGACACGGTAAGAAGGCTTCCTGAAAGCAGTAAATAGGCACGTCCCTTTCTTTGCATTACCTCCTTTTCCAAATTAATTCCTGTGCATGGACTGAACTGCAAGTGTTCCTTTTTAATTACACTAGCCCAAACGTTGGCCGCCTGTGAAAGCAAGTAATTTGGGTTTGTCCATCTGAGCCATGTGAACCAACAAGGCTGTTCTCTAGTTTTTGCCTTTTTCACTTGAGCATTTCAAAGGCTGCCCCTCACGCAGAACAGAACCTGGCTGAAAAAGAGAAAAGGCTCCATCTAGTGGGCAAGATTTTTTAGTAGAAAAAAAAAAAACTGCGAGGTTTTCACTCAATTTTGCACGTGAAGATGTACTACTAGTTTTTGTTTCACTAAGCTGCCCTTTTGTTCTTAACTATTGCTTTCTGACAGAGCTGTTTCATATGCAAAGTTGAAGCAGTGGGAATTATTCTGAGAGCCTTAAGCACGAAGCAATAAATGTTAATAAATGTGTGGGTTTATGCAGGAAAGACATTTATCCACAGACTTCTGGACTTTTTCTCCTATAGCTTCATCACACAGCATCCAAAAATAGGTATCCAAAAGTGTGTATTTTAAGTGTGTCCATTATACCATTTGAAGTAATTAACTGCTTCAAAATTACTTGAAATGTGTTTGTGAATTGACCACAGAACTTCATATAGTTGTATTTTGGGAGTATTTTTACACAGGGAACTTTTTCCATGGGTTCCCCATCTTTTATTAAGTAACTTACTTGTGAACTGTGAAGTCCAGATTTCCAGGGCCTCAGCCTAGTGCTTCAGCTTCGGGAGAGGCAAAGCCGACACCACCTCTGCTGTCCCTTCCCAAAGGCCAAAAGCCAAAGCTCATTTGCCCAGAAACCTGGCTACTTACCATGCTGGGTCCAAAATCATCCCAGTAAAACCTGGCACCTTGATTTTAGGCACATAGTTGATCTAGCACTTTTTTTTTTCCTTCTGAACTTCTTCACTGCATTGAAGTTATGCTTAAAAAAAAAGGGGGGGGGGCAAAATATTCAAAAGGCAGGAATCTTAAATTGCTTCAAGGATTTTGAAGCTGTAGTGAAATTTAGACATTATTCTCTCATTCCAAGCAAATACAGATAGCAGATTAAACCTTTTTCTTCCCCCTTCCCTTTGCTTCAGGCTCATAACTAGAGCGATAGGAAGAACAAATAGCTGAAAGCGCAGATTTGGCAGAGGAGACCCTGAACCCTCTTGTCTGTCCTGCCTTCTGTCAGGCTGTGCTCATTTTCAAACCATACAGCATGGCAAAATCAGTCCCCACGCTGCCGTTTACAGACCCTGGTGGAGAGAATGACATACATTACATTAAATACACAAGATAATTGGCCCATGTTCAACTCCACAATTGAAATACTCTTCTATTGTGAACCCTCAAATAAAGCTTAATTGATACACATCTCTTTGGACCTCCATTTGTGCTGGGCCATTTACTAGCAGATCCAAAGGAGACTCTCTTCAGTTTTGATGTGTGATTTGACAATTCTGACAGACCATATATGCTTGCTGCTGTACCTAGACATTTCTGCCCACCTTTCCTTGTATCCTTCATGGAAGTGTAACCCTCAGTGTCATCAGCTACTATCATCTGTCATTTGACTTGTTTTTAGAGACTAAAACAAAGAATACTCTTGGAATTCTTACACTAAACCTTTGTACAAGCAAAAAGTAACACACAGCTTTAGAATGTCCACGGGATCACAGAATGGTTATGGTTGGAAGGGACCACTGGAGTCGAAACCCCCTGCTCCAGCAGGGACACCCAGAGCAGCCCAGTTTACAGTATGCAAGTATGTCTCTCTCTCTGTAAAAGGAAGAAAATGCCAAATAAACCTTCAGTGATGACTCAAAGTTACAGTTACAGCTACATCACGAGCTGATGCAGTCCTCTTCTAGAACTGACAGTAGCTACTTGTTAGAAGAACATTGCTCCGTTTCTTCTGCTCGTGGACATGCACCTGACCACACACACAGTACAAGAAAAGAGGCGAGTCTGCATCACTCCAAAAGGAAAGCTGCTAAATGCTGCCACGTTTAGTTCCTGGCCTTTGCTCCAGAACTATTTACATTTTAAGAGATTATAGTCGTGCTGCTACAAGCCAAAGTTATAACAGTGTTTGCAGTAATAGCAAGATCCCCTACCTCACCTTCCCTGAGATACCTTCTCTAGCACCACTGCTTTGGCTGATGCAAATGAAGTACAAACTTAACAGATGTGAAACTCTGGGGAACATTCAACAATATGATCTTTAATAATCTGCTGCAAACTCAAATGCTAACTTGAGGATTAACTATTAATTTATTCCCTCCAGAGGTCATTGGATAAGAGTCTTATGCAATTCCAATTAGTATCTAAAATAGCTGTCTTAGATGTTGTTTATCTGGAGTAACTTAGTTACCTGCTGTATTCCTCCTTTGAGGAGGGAAGGCAGTCTTTACAACAGACATGATGATAATCGTGTTTGTTTCAAGAGTGCCACCAAGTCTCTCCTCTCTCTCTTTCGTTTCTTACAGCAAACCAGGTGCTGAAGTTCGGAACGCTCGTCAGTAGTTCAAACACCTATGACCACTCTGGGATTGTAACCATCGAGACAGACAAGCCTTTGCTGTGGACAATGGCTGTGAAGGAGTAAGATGAGCTACAGCTGCCTTTTCTTATCTGATTGGACTCCAATTACTGCAAAAATGCACTGGACGTAGAAAGCAGAACTATACCAAAGGAAATAATCATGCACTGATTTTATGTAGTGACTGGAAAAAAAGCCTGGAATAAAAGTCAATTGAGATCAAATGAAGCTTAGCAGCAGTGACTGGGTACATCATTCTGGTACCTCATACTGTCCACTCAAAAAAAAAAAAAAAAAAAAACACATCTGCTGTCAGCCACTATGATGACAAACAGGTAAAAATGGATGCAAAAGAAAACTACTAGGTAGGTCAGTGCTAGGTAGGTCAGCACTGATTATTTTCACAAGTACTTTGTTCCAGTACTGACTTTTTTTTTTTCTTCTCTTTTTGCACAGTAAATAGTTGCACACAGTGCTTCTTATAAAAAGATGATACTGTAAGCACAATTACTCTAATTTTCCTGTTCTGCTGCATAATATATATACACACGTGGTGCTGAAGATTTCCCAGAAGGCTAATAATTTAACCTTCGCATTTTTAAAACAAGCTGGTGCACTGGAGAAGCTCCTGTTTTGTTGCAATGCCAGTATCAAGCCTATCTCCCAGCATCACGTACCATTGAAGTAGCAGGGTAGTATCTAATTATTACTAAAATTACTAAAAATTTTCATTTTTTGGAATGAAATGAGTTTGTTAACCTCAGTCTGGGGAGGAAAAGAATTACTAGCATATACCAGTTTTGGTAGTCTTAGTTTCTAAATAACAGTGCAGTGGTCTTACACCAGTATCCAAAAGACATCAGTAACAGTGTACGCCCTGTCCAACAGTCTGGAGTTTGTTGCTTATCTGAAAACGGGAAGTTTTAGTAAAAAGTAGGTTTTTGTTGTTTTGTTTCTTTTTCTCCCCAATTCAAAATAAGAATCAGAGTTGCCAGTTCCTGTTTTGATGAGAAGGTTTGGAAGATTATTTATATATATATATATATATATATATATAGTTGTTTGTTGTTTTTTTTCTCTCCAGTCAAGTACTGTAACAGTGCAAAATAACTTCCAAATGCAGAAACAAGTTTGGGGTATTGCTGGTGATTCTATACATTATGGTAAGAATTGCAGTTGATAGCTTTTTAACTCACCCCTTGGACATCTAAGGTTATGTTGTTTTCTTGCTTCCTGCTTTTACTGGAACAGGGCTGTTTACTAAGAGGAAAATTAAGCACTGCAATAGGTTGCTCAGAGAACCTGGGTAATCTCCATCCCTGGAGGGTTTGAACACCTGACAAAGCCCTAGACACCATGGCCTGAAGGCAGCATTGACCCAGGTTTGGGCAGAAGGTTGGACTCAGGACTTCACAGATCCTTTCAGGCTGAGCAGTTCTAGTACAATCAAAATAAGGAATAAGGAAGACCTTATTGCTAAGGCATGTAATGTAGACAGAGGTAAGCTTGTAAACAGAGAAAAATCTCAAGAATGTTTGAAATCCCAAACTGAGCTGTTTAATAGTAAACAAGTTACAAAGTTGTGAAGTTTTTGCAGCAAGCATCCCAAAGCTCCTGATGATTGTTCAGCCGCCACTGTTGAGAGAACAGAGTAACCAGTTTCAATTAACTGAAGTGGTTTTTAATCCCATTTTAAGTCTAGTTTAGCCTCCCAACATTGCCTTGCTTGGATAAACACTATGATGATTAAAGCTCATCTCCCCTTCCTTGGAGGATAAGTATCTTGCAGGTACAGGTCAGCCGAGTTTCATAGTCACATCACAGTACCTTGCCTAATCCAGTATTATCAGATCAACTACATCAGCCCTGAAGAAGTTGAGAAGTTTTCACCAAGACTGTTAAAATGTCTGTACCATGACTGCCAATCCACTTAACAGTAAGTCTGTCATGCTGCAACCCTGATTCTCAAAGTTATTTTACAGAATGCTGTTATATGTAACACAAAAAAGCATCAGCTATGTCTATTTTAATAAACAAGTTTTGTTCTGCACATTGCCTTCTTCCAACACACAGAGTTTTCTGTGTTACCCTCTATGCAAGTATTTTGGAAACTCAAATTATAAACTAGAAACAGTAAGAGGATGCGAGATCCAAAGGTAGCTGTTCTATGCATAGACATAGACTCAATAACAAAACATATTCAACATTCAGTTTTGACGCAGATGTTCATGGGCTGACTGGAAAACTACAGGTCTGATATTTTGCAGCATGCTAAGTCATCAACCTGAAATTAACAGTCTACTTATTAATCAAACTCTTTTGAATATTTATCTAGTAATGAATGCCATATTACAACGAAAATGTGAAATCCACAGATACCAGAGTGACATGGATGCTGTAGGGATCTTGAAAACCCTTGCTTTAAACTGAAAGGACAAAAGCGAATGTAAAACATGGTGAAACTGAAATTTTGTATTTACTTACACAATGATGTTGTTAATTGGGATATGGATCAATTTGACAAAGAAGCCTATAAATCCCATTATCGCAAAGCCTATTGCTGTTGCCATCGCAATCTTCTGGAACTCTGCAAAAGCAAAACCAAAAAACACTTAGTCCAGGAAGACATTGTGTGGCATACAGGAGATTTCATGACATTGACTGTGGAAAGGCCTCTCTGTAGAAAATAATTACGTTAATGCAGACAGAAGTTTAAGTGCAGGCCACATCAAGGTTGAGAAACAAATACGCTTTCTCAGAGGAAAGATAAGATGCTGAGATGCTGAGAGAGAAAAAAAACGCCTTTTTTTTTCTCTCTCTTTCTCTCAATTAATACCAAAGTATAAACACTCCCAGTCTGTAACAATTTATGAAAAAAAAATCTGTAACTTTCCTCCACATTCATTAGTCCTGAAAACAATCTCCAAAACATGTACCAAAAAAAAAGACACAAGAGTTTCCACAACATGAGAGAAAATCAAAGAAAATTCTCACTATTTAATTATATCCAGATCTATAAATGCATTAAAAATTGGAGAACTGCTCAAGTTCTCTTTCTCTGCTTCTCATGAGAAAGTTGAGAAGTGGCATAAGGAAACATCTGCAGGGAGGTCCAAGATGCAATAAACATCGTGCCCTGCTTTACTACGTGCTTTACCTTTCCTGTCAGGCTTTGTGCACCTCTTCACAAGTCGTATGGAGTCCTTCACAAACTGGCGGCTGGGCTCCACAAACTGCATTACTTGATCCATGATTTCCTGCAAAGACAGATTGGGAATTAGCAGTGCCACATATAACACAAGATAGATGTCTCTGCAGAAGCACAAGGAACAGTAAGCTTTAAGATTTCTAGAAGACTTGTAAAAAATTTCTGAAGTAATTTCAAATCTCATATTCCAACATAACCAGAGTTACAGTCACAGTCGCACCGTACACGAATATTTATATATAGCGATGAAATATGTACACGTATCTTTAGCTGACCCTCCCCCGCCCCCCGCCACACACACACGCCCTTCC